GTATAATAGTGAGTATTATGAATTTTTATGTTGTATAAAGATAATCATTTCTAAAAGCAATATAAAAGCTCAATAATATAATAAAAGACCATTATTTAAATCTCGTAATTGCAAGAAATCTAATAGTTGAAATTTTGTTTCAATACAAGCTTTGGTTGATGGTAAAATGAAGTTTAAACTTTTTATTTCAAACTTTCATACCAAATTCAAAAAATTATTAGTAGTATTTCTCTGTGATAATGTGATATAACAAAATGCAATTATAATATTTGGCAGTTAAAAGTAAGTGGTTTTTTTTTAAAAAAAATTGGAATTTATTATTATGTAGGATTTTGAGCATTTTAAAAAAATTCATAGTAAATTATTATGCTCCGATTTCTATTAAATTTATAACTTCTTGGTTTTTTAGAAGGCAAAATAGGTGTAAAAACAATAATAAATTTTCATTTTTTTTATTGCTTTTTAAAATAGTATTCTAAAAATCCATTGGGCATTTACAAGTTTTAATTTAAATAGGAAAATTCTGATCTCATATCCAAAATAACAAATGATACTCGCACCGCCATTCTTTTCATCGGGGACTGTACAACTTCGCTAATTCAGGATCATAAGGGCACTGATTGCCATTTTCGTGGTACCATGAGCCATGTAATCCATAATTCCCATGTTTTCCATTGCAAATAGGACATGGTGAGCTCTACGGCTGAGGCGATGCAAAATTATAATTATCAATCCCTCTAAAACTATTTCAGAATTTCAGGTATGTGAAATGCTCTAACACGGATCTGATAATTAATTTCGGATCAGGTTTGGCTTCGAAAGTGATAGGTCCTTTTTCTTCACATTGCTCAGAAAAAGATAGATCAGATACTTTGCTTTCTGGCTTCAAATTTACGAGAAGGTGACTTTCTGATAATTGCCATGGCTCAAGTCCCATTTCTCTTTTATATTTTTTGTATAAGCTGGAACGGATCTTATCCGTCAAAATGCTTGGTAACCCACTTAATTTGGCATGCCAATCCAGATATTTGGGAGTTAATATTTTATCAGACTTGGTTATGTTGCTTTTTATATGATCGCAAATCAATTTAAATTAGGTAATAGTTGACATAAATTAGCCCTAAAAAAATATCACAATAAAGCGTGAGCAAATATAGGGTTATGCAATGCGCTTCTGGCCAAAGTGACCAGACTATGCAGTTATCTCAATTTCATGCTGTTCACATTTAATAAAATAAGATCCAGCTTTATATCTACCTTCTAAACTTTCCTCCTCATCATGCTCTAACTCGCATAATAGGCATATTTTCTCATTGGTAATTCCATAATAATCAAAATTTTCACTACTAAATTTTCTATATAAATTGGGATATTGATCCAATGTCTTATTGCAAAAATAGGATCGGTCATAAGTTAGATTAATCCCAGGAATTGATGCAGGTGATACACTTGCTTGAGGTGTGACTGGTAAAAGATCATAACTTTGATCGTTACCAATGGTACCAGTTTTTGAGGTCACATGACTCTGATCATTACCATTGGTAATGGTTTTATCGTTCACATAATCTATAATATTTTGAATTTGGGTATTGGTTAATCTAGAAATATCACTCGCGCTACAAGTGATTAACTTAATTCTATTTATCCCAACCCCTTTTTCTCCAAATAGCATAAGAATATTTTTAGCTCTATGTGTTCAGATTTGCAAATTACTCAGAATGACATTAGGTAAATACTGCAACATATCTTTGTATATCATCGATCTTGCTGTCTTATCTTTAGTCTTGCCATCAGCTGTAATATTTTTTACTTTTTCTTTGAACTCAAAGGAATAATGATACAAACATAAGATTTCTTTTAGACCCACTCTTATAGCCTCATCAATCCAATAAGCTAATCTCTGCATAGAGCCCTCAATCGCATTGTTTAAGATGGACTTATCATGTAGTTCAACTGATGCTACTGAAGAAATAGGTCTAGAAAGATCGCGCTTTAAAATTTGTTCAGTGACTTGATTTCTATTAAGCGGTTGTGTAGCAATTGGCTCAGATGAGGCATCCTCGCTATCGGTACAAGTGATCATTTTTGTATCACATGATAAGTTATCCTGTGACACTTTAATGTCCACCTTTTCAATAGCTATCGATGCAGAGATATCATCGCCTGTGCTGAGAGATAATTCCAAATCTTGATCATTACCATTGGTAATAGTTTTTTTGTTACATGATAATTTTGAATTTTGATCGTTACTAATGGTAACAGTTTTTTTGTCACATGATAATTTTGAATTGTTAATGGTTTCTATATCGTCAGAAATAATGTCCTGGACTTGATTTTTAGCTGATTCACGTAGAAATTTCTTTTCCTTATTACGTTGCTTTTAGAGTTCCGAATGGGTCAAGTCAGGTCAGGTTAATTGATAAACCTGACCTGAAATTTTTTTTCAGGTCAGGTCAGGTTAGGTTATATCAGGTTGTCTGTTTGACCTGACCTGACCTGAAACCTGAAAAATTTTAGGACTATTTTTATTAAAGTATTGAAAAAAAATGGTACAAAACTTTTTTTTTCAATATAATATTATGAAAAAAAACGTTTTTGCAACGTTTTTTATTAAAATATTGAAAAAAAATATTGCAAAATGTTTTTTTTAATATAACATTACGAAAAAAATGTTTTCGCAACGTTATTATTGAAATATCAAAAAAAATGTTACGAACCATTTTTTTAATATAATATTATGAAAAAACGTTTTCGCAACATTTTTTCTTGAAATATTGCGATTCAACATTTTTATATTAAAATCATATAAAAAAGTGAATCCCAATACTGCAACTCACTTTT